ATATTATATTGTGACAGCGCATTCAGTATCATATCCCAACTAGCTGTGTTGAAGGCATTCCTTACATCCAGGGTCGCGATGATGCAGTATTCCTTCGTCTCGTTTCTCCATCTGGTGCCTTGAATAGCAGAAGTGGCCAGACCGACAACTTTGTTAAGCGCGTCCGTTGTTGACCGGGCCTTCCGGAATCCAAATTGGTTTGTTGACAGGCTTCCGGCGCTTGCAATCGCAGTCTCCAGCCTGGAGCAGATCAGTTTCTCAAACACCTTTCCCATGGTGTCTAAGAGACAGATCGGTCTGTACGAAGATGGCTCATCTGGTGGTTTGCCAGCCTTGGGTAGCAATACCAGATTCTGGGCTTTCCATTTTGCCGGGAACGTCTCTTGGATCAGGCATTCGTTAAATAATTCGGCGAACGTACTTGGGTGCAAGGCGAGGGCTAGCTTTAGCGCACGATTTGGGATCCCGTCCGGCCCTGGAGCTGTGTTGGTTCTAAGACCTCGGAGAACTACTGATATTTCTTCCTCTGTAACTAAAACAATTTCAGTGCTCGTTGAGCCCTGATCAGCAGACTCGGACTCAGGGGCGTGAATGGAGCTTAAACTTTCTGGAAAGAGTGTTTCCACAATCGATTTAAGCTCCAGACGATCCGTAGGCTGCACCTGCCTACCTGCGTATAGTCTTTTAACTACTATCTTATATGCCCTGCCCCAAGGGTCATATTCGGCTGAGTCGCACAACTGTAAAAAACATTCTCTTTTGCGTGCCCGAATGGCCTTCTTCAGCTGTCTTCTAGCTGCCTGGTAAGCTAACTGTTTCTCAAGAAACGTTGGCCTACCGCGAGCCCGTTGGTAGCTTCTTCTCGCCTGGATGCATTTGCGACGAATGTCACCTATTTGTGCATTCCACCAATACGTAGGCTCATGTTGTCGCGTGAACTGCTTGCGGCGTAACATGCTGCTATTGCAGGCACTCTGTATTTGGGCTACCATTTGGCATGCTCTGGCCTCAGCATTACCAATTGTACCCAGAGACTGAATGGCCTCTGAAAAGACCGCGGGATCAAAAGTATCTAGCCGATACGACTCCCTCCACAATGTTGACGCCCTGGCAGGTGGCTCACCTATTGTGAACAGAAGTGCCGTATGATCGCTGCCCATATAGCTATCGCAATGGCTCCATGTTGCTCCCCGAAAGAGGGATGAAGTGACAAAAGTAATGTCGATAACAGACCCGTATCCCGCCCGACTGAAGGTGTACTCATGGCCAGTGTTGAGCAGTGCAACATCTAGTGTCGCGAAGATCTCCAGTAGGATACGACCTCTGGCATTTGTTGTGGGGCTACCCCATTCTAGCGCCCAGGAGTTAAAATCTCCAGCTATAATGGCCTTCCGACCCCTAGCATCCTCGGCAAGCTCGTCTAGCACCGTCGTGAATTCACTGAGCTGCATGCTGGGGGCCAGATAGCAACTGTAAAGCCATAAGCTACCATATCGGCCACGTACGAACCCATTGAATGACTTAACATTCGAAAGTAAGTTCGTTGAGTTGCCGCATACCCACAACGCAGCTTTGCCATTAACGTCTGTTGACCATGTCCTAGGGCAGCTGGTTCTACAGTGGTGAGGCTCACTGAGAAAAGCTACATCTATACATTTTTCCCTAATGGTCTGCTCTAGAAGATCTTGGGCAGCAACACAATGATTTAAGTTAAGCTGCAAAAACCTTAACATTTCATTTTACGAGCAGCTTCACGGTAAGATGGGCACTTGAAGCTGCCTGCTGAATGGTCCGTCTGCTTTTCACCTTTCCGGATGCAGAGGCTACATTTTGGTGGCTTGGTACATGCTTTTGCACTGTGACCCATCTCTCCACACCTGAAACAGGCGCCCTTTAAGTCACAGTCGCTGCCGCAGTTTGCTGCCATATGACCGTAATCGAGGCACTTGAAACAGCGTTTAGGCTGCTCCACGGCTCGGATACGGCAAACTACCCATCCTATTCTAATTTCGGACAGCTCGAGCAGAGTTTTAGCTTTCCCAATTGGAAGAGCAACCGTAGCTCTTTGCTGTCCACCAAAAGCTGGCCGAAGCGATTTGATAGCCTCAATGGGGAGTGAGCTATCCTTCAACTCCACCCTAATTGCCTCCAAGATCTCCTCTTTGGTCGCTAACTCATCTAGATCGCGAATCTCAACTTGAGCCGATTCGGTAAGTGTTTTAACTACCGCTCGGTCTCCCAAGGCCTTGCCTACAGCTTCGTGCAGAGCCTCAGCGCTATGCTCCGGCTTCCTACTCAGTTGCAATAAAAGGTCCCCCTTAGCTGTCTTCCTAATGCCTTGAACGTCGCTGCTCAGATGCTTCAAATTTGGGTCGCTTTTAACTACACGAAGCATGTCCTACGCCTGAAATCGCAATCGCGTCAGTCCTGGTACGTTTTTGCATAGGCTTTCGCCTTTTAACGACTGTCCAGCTGCTCTGGTTTGTCTGTCGAGCGGCCTGGTTTGAAGTTTCAGCTGTAGCCCGTGGAGCCATTGGTTCTTTTGGGTTCGCTGCACTTCTATTGGGCCTCGGCTTTTTTGAGGGAGTTTTCCTCTGTTCGGAGGCAACTTCCCTCGACCGCTTGGGAGTATTGCTACCTACTGTAGCACTAATGCTCGCTGCCTTAACGTTTTCGCCTACTTTTTTGAGTGGCGTGGTCTGCACCTCACAGTTTTTAACCGAACGGTTGCAGAACGCTTCGGCCGTCTTGTGAAGGCTGACCAGCCTAGCCAGCTCCTATCTCATTAAGGCATTTATATGCCGCTGACCCCCAAATAAGGCAGACAAACCCTCTAGTGTAGCTCCTATTTGAGCTAACGCTTCTTTTAGTGACTTGGGTGCCTGGCACTCAGCCACTGGAGCCTGGTTAGAAGTCGACGGCTGCGCCAACGCCCTCTGTTGTTGCTGCGGCGATCGCTGCAACGAGGAACGACGCGCAAAAGCTTGCAGCTCGTCCTCCATCATGGCATCCATTTCTGCTCTGACTACCACGGCGTGAAGCCTGTAGTGGGCAATGGCTACTAAAATAATCTGAGTTTACAACCCGCAGTAACTTAAACTCAACTTGACTACAGCGAGAGCCCGAAAGTATGCACTACTTTTAATAACTGCTACTTCACTCCAGCAGCTAGGTTGCTGTCTTTGCTAAGGCTTAGCAACTCACCAACGTTAGTGAGCAGCTGATTGCCCGATGCAATTTCCAGCACTACTAACAGCTGTTAGACTGAATGCACCTGATTATTATACTCATTCACGAAAGTGAATCAGTATATTGGTTTTGTGCAATGTTCGTCTGTCCGTCTGTCCGTATGAACGCAATCTATTTCGGCGCTATTGAAGCTAGAGACTTGAAATTTGGAACACATACTCGTGTATATCTCCGATTTATGAAGTGTTAAAATTTTCCCGATCCGCCCACTAGGGGCGTGGCAAATCGGAAAATGCACTTTCCGATATACCAGAAATCATGTTAGTTAAAGAGCTAGAAAGCTGAAATTTAGTATGTAGGTCCGCGTCGACTACCCAAGATCACGAGCTATGGCGGATATATCTACCCCCATTGGGGGCGTGGCAAATCGGATAAAACGGTATCTCCTAAAGTTGTAAGCCTAGAATGCTGAAATTTTGCACGTTAGCTAATGTTATGATTCTAACTAAAGACAAAATTATAAGTCTACGCCCATTAGGGACGTGGCAAATCGGACCTGAAGATATAGTGACCAAAAATGAGTTGTCTAAGCCCAGTTGGGGCGTTGAAAATCGGAAAAATCTGTATTTTCTACAGTATTAGAGTATTAGAGCGAAACTTAACTACTAAATTGTTGATGGGATGTGAAACTCATTCCGCAGTCGGTAACGCCCGACTGCAACGTTCTTACTTGTTATTAATTGCGCAAGTGTGATGCCTAGTGACAAAACTTTTCGCGCTTGAAAAAGACAAGGAAAGAGAAAAGCCCTGACGCCAAAACAATGACGCTATTGCCCCCCTCTCTTGCACAACTGGATTCTACCACCGGGGTACTCCACGAACCGCCGCGCAGTAAGTCTCTGGTAGCTTTCGAGGACGCTGGGTACGTTGCACCCACAGCATACACGTTTTCTTTAGATATTTCCACTTTCGCAGGGATAAACTCGGAACAAGCTATAGTCAACGATGGATCACAATAACATCGACCGCACTCCACGAAAACGCAACTCGAACTCCGTGTATGTGTTGTGTGTATGTTTTGATCGGTTAGCGAAGGTTACTATTAGAGGTGGGCACGGGCCGGGTTTTTATCGGGTACCCGTGGGCACCCGCGCTTACCCGTGGGTATCGAGTTTCGAGTTGGGTGCGGGCGGGTGCGAGTTACGCCGCTCAACCCGTTTTACCCGAACAAATCATATTTTGGAGACCGTCAAAAGCATGATGGTTGAAATTTATGATATGCAAAATGATTCAATTGAGGACGCGAGGATTAAAAACTCTCCGACAAATTTGAATCTTGAATTTCTAGAGTTTTTGGACAAAAATCAACCAAAACAAGTAAGAAAGCTCTAGTCGAGAGTGAATATACATGAAGTTTATAAATAAATTAAAAATAAAATGTTTATCATTTAATTATTAATTTTATTAAGCTCTATATCCTGAAAGAATATAAATCATTTGACAGAAAACAATAGTTTTAAATATTCCGCGCAACATGTAACATCGATGTTTTCTTCAAAACACATCGAAAACATCGATGGTGGTAAACATCGATGATATTCCAGCTCTGATGTCTAGTCTATGTGTTCTCTGGTCAGTGGTGATATCTGGTCCGTGCCATATGATTAGTGGTTGGCGTCTGTAGCGGTATATCGACATCGGGAAATTCCATCGATCTATCTTATAATTCATAACAGAAACTCCATCGATACTATCGATATTTCCATCGATGGTTTTTCTACTACTTCACTTCTTCATACATATGTTCGTGTAACAAACTCGACTGTAGATACACCGATTTAAAGTGTTTGTGGAAATCCCTTATTTAATAATATTATTTGAGTGCTTATACCTTTCTTTAGATTCTCGTTACTTTCAAATACTTTTACTTTACTCGTAAATATTACTCATCTCTAACTTTTTTATGAAAATATTTTTATTGAAAATAGTTTGGAATTGATTTTAATGTAAATAAAGCACATCATATATAGAATGTTTCGCACATTTAAGAAACTAAGTACATTGGAGTGCTTATCAATGCAAATACTACCAATGCAAATCAACTTGATCCCGGTTAGTTACATTTGTATGCATTAGTTATGCAATCTGCATGTATGTATATTTATATTCATATATTTTTAGTTTTCAACCATAGCAACCACAAAGTCAATCAATTCAAAGCTTCATATGATAAAAGACGTGCCACAATCTGACGTGCCAAAACATTCTCGCATATGGAATGAACAAGAAAAAACTAAATTTAAAGCGTCTTGGGTCCCGAGCCCTTATCCAAATACGGGCAACATTTTAAATAAATATAAAAAACTTTCGAAGTTTCGTCTCACGTGTAAGTAGACCAAAAACTTGTAGAAAAAGGTTAATGATCAGCTCTCCTTAACAGCGTTAGTGGTAATAACAACAATGGGTGGCTATGTTATGGCACCAGCAAGTTTTGATGCAACCTCATTTGTTATGTGCACATTAGGAACTGGTTTGGTTTCAGCAGCGGCGAATGCTGTTAATCAATATCACGAAGTTCCATTTGATTCTCAAATGTCGAGAACAAAAAACCGTGTACTGGTTACTGGTCAAATAACCCCACTTAATGCCCTCGGTTTCGCAGTAGTATCAGCGACAACAGGATTATGTTTGTTATATTTTGGAGTTAATGGTCTTACAGCTGCATTGGGTGCTGGAAACCTCTTTCTTTACACATCTATCTATACTCCAATGAAGCGAATTAGTATTGCCAACACATGGGTAGGCTCAATCGTCGGGGCAATCCCTCCTCTGATGGGATGGTCTGGTTGTACAGGGACTCTCGATACAGGCGCTATGATTCTTGCAGGAGTTTTGTACGCTTGGCAGTTTCCCCATTTTAATGCTCTTTCATGGAACCTACGTCCGGATTATTCACGAGCCGGTTATCGAATGATGGCTGTCATCGATCCAGCTCTATGCCGTCGCACTGCATTGCGATATGCTTTAGTTATTTGTGGGATGAGTTTGGCAGCTCCATTTTTTAACATTACTAATTATTGGTTTGTTTTGGAATCATTGCCATTAAACATATACTTATGTTATCTTGGTAAGTAACACTTTTAATGCTAACAATTACCGCAGTACTAACCAAGTAAAATTGCTGTAGTCGAGACTTTTCGAGTGGAAGAAATTCGGAACACTCGTTTCTTTAATATCCTGAACAAAATGATAATGGGAAATCAGGGTATGATGGCTTTGGTAATGTGACAGGCAAAAGGAGGCGTGGTGTGACGTATAAATATTCTTGATCAGGGCGACAAGATGAATCGTCCGTCCATGAAATTTCGTTCCTTAAAATTTTGCATCAAAACAATACGTTAAAGTCGTACTTCGTATGGTATACACGAGTATGCAGGCAAAATTACAGCACTCTACTCGGATTTCGCATTTTCAGGGTATAATAATCGAAACATTGATTTCGTTTCCTTCAGCGTATCAGTCCTTAAGACTTCGGATTTACTATTTATATATGTACATTTGATGAATACAAAGATTTTGTAATTTACAGATTTCAGTTACCACATTTGATTTTGTAATATCCAGATTTCGGCTACCATGCTTCAAAATAAAAAAAAACCTATGTCAAGTGGTGGCAATTTATCCCTACTTCTCTGAGAGTTTGTTTTAGGTAGTTCTACTAAAAGAGAATTTATTTAATATTTTTTAAAGAGTTCAGTTTATCTTCTAGTCGAGCAGCCTCGACTAGAGCACTTTTACTTGTTTGGCTTAATGTACTCGATTTAAACCCTTACATTAACCGTTTTGTTTATTTGCAGCTTATAAATTTTATCAGAAATCTGATAGTGGAAGTTCTCGGAGGCTATTTCGATTTTCATTGATTCATCTACCAGCTCTTATGCTATTGTTCTTGGCGAATAAAAAAAAATGGTATTTTAATAATACTATAGACGATAATCTTGTGAACAATGAGGAGACTTATATACCCCTCATTCCCAAAACGCAATCAATCTCAGTGAAAAACGTAATATCAGTTCCGGTTACAGTTAGTGGAAGTTGATCTAGAAGCTAATTTATTAATATAGTATAATATTGCAATTCCTTACGAAGTAAGTAGAATATATGTATATAAATTTAAAATCAATTGTGTTAAAGAAACTGCAATCACTAATCTTTATAATTGGGGGTTCACTCTTTTAATTCTAGCGCAATAAAAGATATTCGTTGTTTCGTTGTAATGAAATATATACAGTGAAACAAAAAAGTATTGGCACACATGGAAAATCAAACTTCTAAGAGCTGAACACAGCTATAAATAAATGAACAACTGTATTTATCAAAACCGTATATTCTAAAAATATTTAACGAAAAAAAAAATTAATTTCTAACCGCCTGCAAACGTCTCTTCATGCTAATTATTAGCATTGACGTTTCATAAGTATGATTTTGGCCCATCCAGCGAGTAGGGCATCTTTTGATGATATCGGATCTTTCTTTCTAATAGGTGCCACACATGCTCGATGGAATTAAAATCCGGTGATTGGGCCGGCGTTTTGAACTGCTTGCAATGGTATATGAGCCACTCCTGCTCAAAATAAGACGAATGTTTTGAGTTATTATTATCACGCACAGAAAACTTAATTGTTTAATAATAATTTCTTTTGGATATACCATCTTCATGATACTTTCTGATCCTAATTATAATAATATAATGCGCGCATTTTTCAAAGCACAAGCCTCTAGTATTTGAAATACGCTTTTTACAAATTAAGTGGTGAGGGGAGGATATAAGGATATAAATTACATATGAATCTACATTTAAAATTGGGAGACTCTAGCTCTAAAGATGTAGGAGATATATTCAATGTATATATATCTTATATATGTTCTATATATATAAAAGAGAGTTGTGTAAAAGTGTCTTAGCACTTATAACTCGAGATCTGCTGGACCAATTTTCATGGTTTTTGATTTGTTGGATTTGTCTCCGCCACGAGTAGGTCAGTAGATCTTTAAAATACTGCAAAGAATTTGACGAATACTTGAAAAACGCGGTTTTTTCCCTAAAGATTCAAATTTCCATTTATACTCAGTAGCCTTGACAACAGTGACAGTTTCGGTCCTGTATAGAAGTAAATAAACAAATGTAGTCAGTCAGTCTACGGCACAGCCTCGAGCAGACCTGACTATTCAACAAAAACAAAAAAAAGACTATTCACCAAAATAAAAAAAAAAAAAAAAAAAAAAGACTATTCAAAAAAAAAAAAAAAAAAAAAAAAAAAAAAAAATTTTCCAAATCAAAAAGAAAAATATTTCAAATCAAAAATCTGCAAAAATTCAAAAAAATCAAAAGATTAAAACCTGACTGTTCAAAAAATAAATAAAAAATTCAAAATTCGAAATTAAAAAAAAAAAATAAGTTAATTATTAAAAAGAGTATTTTTGGCTTTTTATATTTTTGGACTTTTAAACTTTATAAATATTTCAAATCAAAAATCTGCAAAAATTAAAATAAAAAATCAAAAGATTAAAACCTGACTAATCAAAAATAAATAAAAAATTCCAAATTCGAAATTCAAACAAGTAAGAAAACTCTAGTCGAGAGTGCTCGACTAGATACTACCCTGAACCCAACAAATAAAAATGCCCATTTAGTATGGCTGAAATTTCAATTTCTATGTATTTAAAAATAAAAAAAAAATAAAATAAAATACCAAACTCATTTAATAAAATATAAAAAATATTTTGAAACAATTAAAAAAGTTAACATCAGTTACACCGATCGGGATTCGAACCACAACTTCTCGATCGAGCGTCATGCAGCTAACACACTAGGCCACCTCACTCCTGCTAGTGGCGCTGGCAAAACTCAAATAGATTCACTGCTGCTGCGCCATCTACCAAAACTAAACGAAACTAACAGCTGATGTGATTCAACGAATGTTTCTAGAAGAAGTTTGAATGTATGTGTGCACACGCATACGATGCTGTTGTAGCTGCTGCACGTGCGTTTGTTGATTGGCCAAATATTTGATTATTTTTTATTAATTTTTGACTGAACGGAATTTAATGAAACTTTCAGCATATGATCTACATATTATATTGAATATTTGAGAAATTAAAAAAAAAGAAAAATCATTCACAATTAACTATAGTGGCACCTGATTTGAACTTGAATGTTTTTACTCGATAAAAACATAACGGGATGATTTATCGAATTATAAAAGCAAACTCGACGTCCGCGCTGTATATACGGTCATTTAAAAAAAAAATTCAAGTCTCTAGCTCTTATATCTTCGGAAATCGACGCGTTCAAACATACGGACAGACGGACAGGGTCAAATCGACTCAGCTCGTCGCCCTGATCAAGAATATATATACTTTGTGCGGTCTGCCACGCCTCCTTCTGCCTGTTACATACATTTCAACAAAACCATTATACCCTGATTTCCCATTTTCAATGGGTTCAGGGTATAAAAAACAAAAAAAAGTTAATTATTAATAAGTGTATTTTTGGCTTTTTATATTTTTTGACTTTTAAACTTTATAAATATTTCAAATCAAAAATCTGCAAAAATTAAAATAAAAAATCAAAAGATTAAAACTTGACTAATCAAAAATAAATAAAAAATTCCAAATTCGAAATTCAAAAAAAAAAAAAAAAGTTAATTATTAAAAAGTGTATTTTTGGCTTTTTATATTTTTGGACTCTTAAACTTTATAAATAATAATTGTGCGCGTGCGTACAAAAGCTAAATATCTCGAATGTTCAGGTATTTGTTTGTCTCAAACATAAATTTGTGTAAATTATTTATATTTATATTTCTCGATTGTGTTATATGGTTTTGTGCGAGGGCAGTATTACTATTAATTAAAATGCCGCGTCCTAGAAGATCTAATCTTTCCCGGCGGACCCATAATGCAATTAGGCAACGGAATATCGCGAGTCAATTATCTGACGAAGAGCGAGAAATCGCCCGAGAAAGGCTCCGCGTTAGTACCCAGCAAAGAAGGGCCTTAATTCGTGCTTCTCAAAGAGAGGCAGCCCGTGAAATGGCAATAAGAAATGGTTCAAGGATTGATTTGAATCGAGAAGCGTTTCGATATGATTGCACCTTGACTATAGCTTGAATCGTTTAGTTTGCATTGGTCGAATGGACGTTGTTTGCCAGCATTGTGACGCATTGAAGTTTGCTGGTGAAACGCCCGGTTTGTGCTGCCTTAGTGGTAAAGTGACATTGCCATTAGTGGTCCCGCCACCAGAGCCATTGCGTTCCCTACTTTTCTAGCGAGCACTCAAAAATACAATGCCTGTTTCCAATTCGGGGCAGAGACAAATCCAACAAATCAAAAACCATGAAAATTGGTGCAGCAGATCTCGAATTATAAGTTCTGTAACAAACTCTACTTTGTTTTATATATATAGAGACTTAGGCGGTATGAAGTTCGCCGGGACAACTAGTATTTTATATATCGAAGTGACACAGACTCTGCTGATGACGTTGCTGTCGTTTGGAAAAATATGAGGCCGGAAAAGACCGAGCTGGGCAATCTGGCTGCGTTTTATACGCCCACATTCCAGTGTTCTTGTAGCAAACGTTTCGCTCTCTTGGGAAGCTGAAGGCATCGGGTTGAAATTGAATGCATCTCTCCCACTGTGTTCCAAAGCTTTCGGGCTTAGCGAAAGCTCGATTGAGAAAGCTCCGGTTATCCCAAGCTCTATTTGCATCGCAAATGATATGCGCTGCAATTAGCAATCTCGTATATTTGCTGACCAGTACAATCTGCATGCTCGTTTGCAATATCGTTTGGACTTGCGCTTGCACATACAGTAGCGCTCTCTCTTTGCGCTCACTACTTTCGCCCCAGTGGCGGAAATGCCCATTATTTAGTCCATTACTCATGGATTACTTTTCCCCTGTGTGCATGAAAACATCGATTCCAAGCTCCATTACTTTCTTAACAAATGGCCGCGTTTTCTACCGGGTGCATGAAATAATTGATTTTTGTAATGCAGAAAGTAATGAGGTGACGAAGTTTCATTCGGCTGTCCATTACCCAAGCGTATACTTTTTAGACTCATTCACGAAAATGAAATGAGTAGATTTGTTTTGTGCACTATCCGTCCGTAGTCCGTCTAGAGACTTGAAATTTGGAACACATACTCGTGTATTTATACTCCGATTTATAAAGTGTTAAAATTTTCCCGATCCGCCCACTAGGGGCGTGGCAAATTGGAAAATGCATTTCCGATATACCAGAAATCATATTTGTTGAAGAGCTACAAAGCTGAAATTTGGTATGTAGGACCGCGTCGACCACCCAAGATCACGAGCTATGGCGGATATATCTCCGCCCATTGGGGGCGTGGCAAATCGGATAAAACTGTTATAAACCTAGAATGCACGTAAGCTGATGTTTCAATTCTATGAAGATGGGTGAAAAAATTATATATCTACGCCTACTAGGGGCGTGGCAAATCGGACCTGAAGATATAGTGATTTTTCTAATTCGGCTGTATTTTGGACACTATTACCTGAAGTTTGGTATATATACGCGGGTTGACCACCCAAGTCCAACGAGCTATGGTAGATATACAGTGGGTCAAAAAAGTATTGGCACACTTGAAAAATCAAACTTCTAAGAGCTGTAACTTTTTTTGAACACAGCTATAAATAAATGAAAAACGGTATTTGTTATAACCATGTTTTCTAATATTATTTAACAAAAAAACATTAAATTTCTAGTTTGGTTCAATTGCGCAGAACTAAAATATAAATATAGGCACAAATTTTCGTCAAAAAAGTATTGGCACAGGTAAAAGGCGTAATCAGTCATTTTCATCGGTAGTCAATCACCCCAATACTTTGTGGGTCCTCCTTTAGACTGAATACCCGCCTACAAACGTCTCTTCATGATAATTATTGGCCTTGACGTTTCATAAGTAGTGATTTTGGCCCATCCAGCGAGTAGGGCCTCTTTTAGAGAATCCTTTGAGGTTATTTGATGATATCGGATCTTTCCATCTAATAGGTGCCACACATGCTCGATGGTATTCCAATCCGGTGATTGGGGCGGTGTTTTTAACTGCTTGCAATGGTATATGAGCCACTCCTGCACAGTATAAGACGAATGTTTTGGGTTATTGTCTTGATGAATCTGGCAATCAGTGCTACTGAGACGCAGTTTTTGAATATCTGGACTTCAATTCTCTTTCAGAATGTCTCTATAAACATGCTTGTCCATAGTGTCATCAATAAACACAAGGTTTCCAACTCCAGAAGCAGCAAAACACCCCCACACCATCACATTACCTCCACCGTGCTTGACCGTTCTGAGCAAGTTATTTTCCTGAAGCTCCTTCTTAGGTCTCCGACAGATTTTTTGCGCTCCATCTGTGACGAGTCAACATTTAATCTATTAGCTCTTAGAAGTTTGATTTTTGAAGTGTGGCAATACTTTTTTGGCCCACTGTATGTCCGCTCATAGGAGGCGTGGCAACCCGCAAAAGTTTATATCTCCTACAGTTTAAAAGCTAGAAGCTTCAAATTTGGATAGTTGAGCTACTAGTAGCCTCTTCTATCGATGCTCTAAAAATAATTTTTAAGCCTCTTTAGGGGCGTAGCATATCGAAAATTACCCTTTAATTTTCACATTTTTTTTATTGTAGGAATTCAAATTTTGAATTTAGGGTACCGGTTGCTCGTTCTAAGAACTGGCCAAAAATGAGGA